CAAATTCACAAGTGCTCGTACCAGTGTCACAGCACGCAGCAATGAGCTGCCCACATTAGCTGAGCCTGTCCACTGTACACAGGCTGTTTACCAAGGTAAGAAGGAGAGGGGAGAGTCTGCAAGGCAGCAGTAATGACAGCTGCTGTGAAGTCAGTCTAACCAGGGCTGTGGCCCAGCTCGTGGGGCAGGGAGCAGGTGGCACGTGCCGCTCCCAGCACACCCCAGCTCTAATCCAGCCTGGAGCTGTGGGTGCTGCTACAGTGCCATTAAAAGAGACTGAGCAACCCTCCTCTCCCAGCCATTGCATGTCTGTCACCACCAGCAGGCAGGCACACACACACTTTGATTCTTGCTTTAGCTGAACAAAGGAGGCTGCTTTCATCCAAAGCAAGGGAGTTGGATATTATGAAAAACTCGCACTAGGAGGGTGGCGAAACACTGGAACGGGTTACCCAGAGAGGTGGTGGAGTCTCCATCCTTGGAGGTTTAAGTCCTGGCTAGACAAAGCCTTGGCTGGGATGATGCAGTTGGGGCTGGTCCTGCTTTGAGGAGGGGGTTGGACTACATGTGACGTCCTGCGGTACCTTCCAACCCTCTTTTTTATGATTCAGATATTAAAAATCAACTGCTTGGCAGCAGCATTTCTATTCAGGCAGCACTGAGGCAGTCACATGAGTTCATGGCTCATTGACATTTCCCTGATTCCTGCTAAACTCTCCACTCCGTTCGTGTTAACGAGCATCTCTGCTTTTTCATGGTCTTCGTCTTCCGCTATTCCATCTATCCTTTCTTGTGCAATTCTGCAAGCTGTTTGTCAGCCTTTCCTGGTAGTGTTTCTCTTCCATTTCACAGCCCTGCAGATTGTTTTTAGATTGAGCTAAAAACCTTAACTCGGGTGTGGTCAAATCAACTCTGGTGTAGAAATGACTGAAGGCAAAGCATTGGAGGCACTGTAAAGACACTCAAGAAGGCCAGACTTTGTTTTACAAATCTGAACAACAGATGTACATTCAACTATAATGACATTACTAATGAAACAATATGTTTTCACAATTTTTCCCCCAGTTTCTTGTGTTTTTAAAAATTAATTATATCTAATGTAGCAAATTAGTACACATCAATACATTTAGATTTGTTTTTGCTTTGATCTTAAACTGAATAATACAGCGCTAGACTCCCAGCATATTGGTTAGCTTCTAACTTCTCTTTAACTGGAGTAAAATATGGGTTGGTACATGTGATGATGCGACACCCCATCTGAACTCCCTTTTCAAAATCTGAGATCTGACTATGTACACATGCGCACATGCATGCACGCACACACACAGCTGTGCCCCAGAAAGCCTGCAATCAAGATCCATGTGGCTAGGGTGGAGCAGTCTGGGAAAGCATTAAATCCAGAGCCACACTGGTACACAGCAGGGTCAGAAGAGCCAGCCTGACCGTCCCACAGCACTTGCTGCAATTCAAGCTTAGCATCATGCAAAAGGAATTTGACCTTTCATCCCACACTGCTGCCAAGTGCATAGACCGGATTGATATGGCTCTGTTTCCCCACCCAGGATGCAGAAGTGATGCACCTGTGACTCTTCCCAGCCACATCTAATCACTCGGCAGGCAGGGCTGGGTGCCTGGGCCACCACAACTGCGGCTCTGCTTTATGCCGTGCTGGGGAGAAAAGATGGGAAAGGACTCCAGGCCACAAGAGAATCCCAGGCAAAACCCCCTTTGGAGGGCTGCATGGGTACGACAGCGCTCAGCACACGAGAGTTTCCATGCAAGAGTCCCACCGTTCTGTGCTCACGCCCTCCTCCGAGGCTGGCATGGGCAGTTGAGGTGTGAGGATTAGGGGCATGCCCAACCTCCTTCCTGCCCTGCTCCAGCCTGTCCATTGACACAAGATATGGAGCAAGATGCACAGGTGCTGGACTCCACACAAACTGTTCTGATTTCTCAGATGCTGCTGCCAGGGCAGTTAGCCTCCATCCACCTGACAGCAACTCAACCAAGGAACATTAAGCCTCTAGGTGGGTGCAGTATTACTCCAGGCTATATGAAGCATCTGGGTCCCCCGGTTCCTCATTCAGAGCTCATGTCACGGAGACTGGACGGTGGCAGACTGCACAAGTTAGCCAGAGCTGAGGCAGTGGCAGCCAATAGCAAACAATGCAACAGGTCTTTGTGGCCAGAGACTCGCCCACGTGACATCAGGCCTTTCTGCAGCCAAATGGAGCAGACTCGGGCCTGGCCCCTGGGTGAGGAACTCGCCATTCATGTTGGGGTTTAATTATACCCTCGTGACTGCATTTTGCCTGGAACTTGGCTCTCGCACTGAAGCTTCCTGCCTGCGTGTTCCCAGGCTTGGCATCACAGGGTGTTTAGCTGTCCCCTATTCGTAACGCTGTCCATGAGAACCTGAAAACTTGTCCTTGGGAGGTGGGACGAGGGGGAATGAGAGATTTCAGAAGCAACCCCACAGCCTTCTCACCTTTCTCCCACCTTCTGTGCCCACCAATAACAAGCATTTGACTCCGTGCTTTAGAAGAGGTGGGTCGGTGGCCCCCAACACAGGCAACAGATGTGCCTTGATCAAGGCTATGAAGTGGCAGAGCCAGGAGGAGAACCCAGGAGTCCTGGCTGCCAGGCAGGACATGGGACAAAGCTACGTAGATCCCTTTGTAGCCTCTGCATAGGTGCAAACCCTCCTGTTGCCTACAGCCACAGTGAGGATCCATGGAAGTTAGCTTCTAGCTGATCCAAATACTGGAGCAATTCTGTCTCACCAGGCGCCAGCAAAACTGCCTTGCTTGCTACCTGTTATTTCTGCTGGTAAACACCGTTCGTGCCCCAACACGCTTTGTGCAGCCTCCACTCCCATGGGTGCGGGGTGCCAAGGATGCAACTGGCTGCCAACCCATCACTAGAAGAGGTGGAGCCAGCAGTAGACAAGAGACTGTCTGCCTCAGTCAAGCCATGGCAATGGGGAGGCAAACCCCAGAAGATACGGTCTCTGCTGGATCACGGGCAGCAAGCCTCTTTCCTGAGCTTCATGCCTGGCTGCAGCACACACTTCCAGGGAACAAAGCAGAGGAGGACATGCTGCCTCCGGGGCTGCGCTGGATGGGACAAGAGACCAGCCTGTTTCTAGGATCTCCTTTTGAGCAGTCAACGTCCGGAGACTATGGCAAGAAGCAGTGCCCAGGACAACCTTCCAAGGGCTAGCAACTTAGCTGGGTTACCCAGGACGTTGTGAAGCAATCATGCTCCCCCCTCCTCTGCTTCCTGTAACTCCGCTGGAGTTTCCCCGATATTCTGCATGCAATGCAGTCAGAAGGATGCAGCAAGCACCCTGCTTTGGTCAAACCGAGCTCATCACCAAACCACAACTGTTGAGAAAGCTCAAAACCCAAGCTTAAAAACCATGCACAGGAGAATCAGGTTTGGGAAAGAGCAGCTCTACCAGGAAAGCGTGGCTGGGGGCAGGCATGGGGTGAGAGCCAGACAGCAGCCAAGTGCCAAACTACCACCTCCTCCCAACCAAGTGCCCAGAAGGTCCAGCTACTGAGAAGCAAGAGAGGCAACAACCAGGCCTCGTCACACCAGACGGATGCCTTCGGTCACCACAGAGTGACCCCCATCACTTCTGTAACTAGTGACATCCCGCTCTCCAACTCAATCCAAGGTCCAAGCCCCAAGAGCTGGTGCCTGTCACACTGCCTGGATCAGCAGTTCTGCTCCTCCTTGGTTTGCTTCTGAGCCCAAACAGCTTCGGTAAATATTTTGTAGCGAGACCACATTGTATATGAGGGTTGCACATCTCCTCTTTGGAAGGAGCGGCAGGTTTGTGTGCTGCCCCTCGGTCCTGGAAGGCAGCAATGGCTCTCGGTGCAGTTCCTAACTCATACCTGCCATACCAAGTTGTTTCAGTTTCCCAAGGTCGCCAGGACTGTTCTTTGACCCCTGCAAACTGCACCTTCCAGCTGATCCCCTTGCAATGCCCAGACCCTCCAGTCTTGTCTCAACACCATTCGGTTTTTGAGCCTGCTCCAAGGTTTAACGTGAGATGGAACAATTTCTAACCCAACTGTTTTCAATAGATGCAAACCCCGGAAGCTGCAGCTTCCTGCGGCTAGCCGAAAACCCAGCCATACAGCTGCTGTAGAAGTCCATGCCCAGCTGGCTGCATTTCCAAAGTAAAGAAAACGGAGTATGCGAGGGACCTTTCCGAGAGGCCACACAGCAGGGCAACTAAAGGCACTTGTCCTCCCTCGCCCGCCCAGGCTGTCTGAGGGCTGCAGCAAGGATCACTAGAGAAGACCTCAAGCAGGGGGAGAAGCCAGACCCAAGAGCAACGTCCCGGAGGCAGCCTGTACGCAGAGAGGAGGTCTGCGCTCTCCGCTCACCAAACACTTAGGGCGGGGGGTGAAGAACCGCCACTAAGATCCAATTCCTGCACCCTTTTCCTCTCCTTCAGCCTCAGGCAGAAGGCAGGGCAGGGTGGCACCTTAGAGACCGACTGGCTCAGAGAGCCAGGAGCTTTCACGGGCGACAGCTTGCTTCATCAGATGCTCTGACACAGCAGGCCTCCAAGGTCCTGCCCTGCCTTCAGATGACTTCAAACCCACAACCTCTCTCTCCACTCAGACTCCAGCCAAACCCTGGTCTCTTCTTGGGCCCACTTTCACCCTCCCAAATTCTGCCAGTCCCTTTCCTGCTGGTCTCCCACATTCCCTTCCTTTCCCGAAACCCTTCAGCTTCCCCACTCCTCCCAGCTCTCACGCAGGGCCACATCCCAGATGCACACATGACCTGAGCTCACTTGTAAGCTCCCTTCCACATCTAGGAGAGCCCATGACACGGCTTCTCGCTGCCCTGCCTACACTAGGGGCATTTCCTAGGGCTGCTCATGGTCGCACAGACTCTGCTCCACACCAGGGTTGGTAAATCTACTCAGAGCAGACTGCCCCAACCCAATGCGAAAAAACATCAGCAGCACCTACCCTGGGGCATTTCTGAAGGGCATGGACAGAGCCTTGCCATCCTTTGCTCCACATCAGTACCCGCAGCCTGATGATGAAGCAGAGACTTGCAGCATCTGGGTAACTATTTAACTTTGGCTCTCTAACTCCAGGCAAGGAGTAGCTACACATTAACTCGAGAGGCTGGGATAAGCAACTTGCTAAGTCTAGCAGGACTAGCACAAGCCACCCCTGCCACAGATGTATCACGCAAGAAGAAAATGGAAGGAGCTGACATCCACCCATTCAAACCCTGGGCACCTCGGGCAACTCACCAAAGGTCGAGCATCCTCAGGTTGTTTCCCTAAAGCTGAAGGATGTTGCTCTTTTCACCCACCCCCGTCCACAGCACTGCATGGCCTTGCAAGAGGCATTCAGAGATTCTGGTTTCATGGAAGCACCAAATGCTGGCTATTCCTTGAAGCCAGATGCCTACCTTGGGCCAGGCCTAAGCTGCAAATCCATCAGCATTGCGGCATCAGTCAGGAGGCAAAGGGTATGAGACCAGGCAACAGCTTGCTGGATAAATGGTCATTCCAGCAAAGCCGTGTTTTTATGGGTAAAACTTATTTTATGGGGGGAATTTGGTATAAGCTGAGTGAACACAAGGGCCAAGATCGAGGGTACCCAGCTGCCAAGGGACTGCACGCTGTCCTGCCCAAAATGTAGGCCCATGCACCCATAAGGGGAATTAAGCATCCATTCACACAGGACTGTGGCCCAGGGTTCACAGTAGCCACCTGCTCCGCAGGGTCTCACAGGATGCCCAGAGATGCCTAGGTATCTGCATCTGAACCCCTTACAGGCTCCATCTGGACTGCTGCAACTGGACCCCAGATGCAGAGGTATCTGGACCCCAGTCCTCTTCTGGAGGTAGGGGCTTTCTGCTATTCTCTGCAGCCTGAAATGGGTGCCCACAATTCACAACCCAAACCCCACATAGGCTCCACTGCTAGAGCCAGGCGGGCTGCACTGCACTTGGGAGGCAAGGGCCCACCCACATATTGCTCAACAACCTAATGGTTAGGGAGAATTGGGCTCTGGTCCTGACTCAGCCACATCCCCCACTTCCCAGAAATGACCTCACCAACAGATACCGGCTGGGCTGGGGGGAGGTTGGGGGGGGGCACACCCTCCAGCTCTTGAAAACCTGGCCTGCTGAGCAGCCTGCAGCGCATGACAGCCTGGAGGCAGGCAGGGCTCTGAGGCTCATGCAAAATAACATGCAAACAAAGCAGGTGACACAGCCTCTTGGTCTGCTCTTACCAAGTGCTGGGACATGCAGAGCCGTGCTGAACCACCAAGGACTTCACATGCTCCTAAACCCCCAGCCAGGCCAGGAGACTTTTGCTGGGGCAACATCATTAGTCCAAAGTGGAGACATGGCCTAGGGCAAGCACACGTGGCCAGGCCTGCGTGTCTCTGATGACTGAGAAGGCTTCCCCTTCTGCCGGGGCACTGCCCACTGACAGTATCTCTAGCCCTAGGTAGAAAGCAAACTCTACCTGGGGTCCTTGGCTTGTGCTGCCTTCCTGATTCACAGACAGAGGCTGCCATAGATCACCTTCATTACTGCAGCAGAGGGGCAATGCAGTTCCTCCCGTCCTCCTTCCACACCCAGCCCAGAAACCCTCCACACTTCCCCAAGTGCCAGCACAGAGCACAGCGGCCATCAAGGGCAGCTCTGCCCCATCTCCGAGGGCTCGCACCAACCATGAGTTTCACACGTAAGGTACCCCATGTCCGTCTCACCCAGTGCTTCTCAACCAGGGTGCTATAGTACCCTGGGATCCTGCAGGATCCTCTGTAGGGTGCCACAAGAGATGTGAGGAGATAAGCAGATAATCACAAGCTCGGGCTTTGTCCATGCCCAGCAGATCCCTCATTCCCACTGCCCAGCCCCAGAACAGATGTCAGTTCTTGAAATGGAGTGCCCCTCAACTCACAAGAGCTGTGGAGGGCTGCCTGGAGTCCAAGAAGACTGAGAGCCTCTGGTCTAGACCGAGCAGGGGTCCTCCTCTGCCAAGAGCCCCCTCAGGACAGTCATGCGCTAAGAGCATCTCACAATTTCAGGTTCCTTTCCAAGTGCCCTTAGCCCCCTACCGACTCCATGGCTCAGGGGAAGGCAGCCTGTGGTGAAGAATCCTCTGCTTGGAGCAAGGGATGTGCGGGCATCTGAGCATGGAGAGCTCCTAAGCCGGGGCTCAGCCACAGCGATGGGTTGGGGGACAGCAGGAAAGGCGTGCATCGGCAAAAGGCAAGCCATCAGCTCTGCCGGATTCTTCCCCCGTTCCAGCATGCATCATGGCCCCGAGACCTGACTGGAGATGCTGGACAAAGCCAGGCAGAGCTTAGCACAGCTACCCGGAGCAGGGGAGCAGTCTCAGCTAGCAACCACCAAAGGCTCCCAAAGGAGTCAGGTAAACAAGGCAGGGAGCCCAGCCCCATGCTGGAGCAAGCAGCCCGGCCCAGGCCTCCCTCACACCCACACACCTCCAAATTACAGGGTGCTGGGAACGAAGGGATAAGGGGCAGGCAGGGACCAAGCTGTGCACCTGGGAATTAAACTGTACTTATCTTAATGATGCAAAGTGGGTGGTAACCCCCGCTGCTCCCCCTCCAGCGCAGGTGAGACGGGAAGGAAGATGCTGTTTAGAGCAGTGCTTCTCACTAGACCCAAAGTCCCTCTGAAAATAACAGCTCTTTGTTTCCACTTTGTTATTTTTTTGACTATGGAAAAAAAATAATACTAGAGCAGTTCTTGTATTGCAAATCTCACAGGAGGGCAGGGTGCATGTGACTTGCTGGATTCCTACTGGAAGTCTCTGGGTTTCTCTCCTGAATTGTATGTAGCTGTTTGCACACCTTGCAGTGCCACTATTGCACAGACCCTCGAGGACAACCTTGAAAGGATTTTTCAGCACTTGGGTTACAATCATAGAGCATGGGGGTTGGAAGGGACCTCAGGAGGTCACATCTAGTCCAACCCCCTGATCAAAGCAAAACCAGCTGCAACTGCATCATCCCAGCCAAGGTTTCGTCTGCCTGGGTCTTAAAACCCTCCAAGGATGGAGACTCCACCACCTCTCCGGGTAGCTTGTTCCAGTGCTTCACCATGCTCCTTGTGAGAAGTCACTGGATTATAGAAATCGCTGGTTTAGGGTTGAGAATCGCTGGTTCAGTGTCCAGGGCTGCATGGACCACAACACCTAGATAGCACCGCGCACCTCTTCTGTCAAAGTGGAATGAAGAGGAAAATATTGGCCCCATTGCCTCAGCTCCAGCATTCCCCGCTCCTCATCCACATACCACTGACTGCAAAACCACCCTTGGGGACTGTCAGTTCTGGCTCTGTAACAAAAGGCCCTGGCTGGGCTAACGGCATCACAATCAGCCACAAAGCTGCAAGGACAGGGGTGGGCAAAATGTGGCCCATGGGCTGGATACGGCCCACCAGGCTGTTCTATCCAGCCCACGGGGCCCCTAAATATTAATTCTCTAAATATTTTATCTGCCCCTGGCTGCCTGTCATGCAGCCCTCAATGGCTTGTGAAAACTGAGTAAGCGGCCCTCCACCCGAAATAATTGCCCGACCTTGTGCTAGGAGGTCTAGATGCCACAGCAAACAAAGCAGAGCCAGTTCAAGGGTGGGTTGCCCACAGAAGCCGGCAACAAAGAAGGGCAGCAGTTGCCTCTTTGAGCCACTGCCAGACCCTCACTGCTGAAAAGCAACGTGACCCGTTCCCCAAACATCAGCCTGATGAGGACATGATAGGAACAGCCCAGCTGTAGGCAAGCTCCCAGCACCCCACCTGGATCAGGCTACGACCAGCAGGAAAAACCTACCCATGAGCCTGTCACTTGGGCACCTTTGTGGTTCCTCAGGGTCCAAATTCTTCGGATAACAGCAAATTCACACAGGGCTGACACCGAGATCATCTTCCCCCTGACAGCTGGACCCCGAACAGCTCGCTGCCCCCATGCTGGACTGCCACCCAAGCCATCTTGCACCCAGGACAGTCTTGAGGACACCCAACAACTCCTGCCCAGGAGCTGGAACTCAAGGGGGCACAGGTTTTCTGGGAGAATGAGACCCAGGAAAAGAAACAGTGGTACAAGGAGACTGGACTTCTCTATATTGGCCCTCCCGACACCAGAGGAAGCCAATGCCTGGAAGCTCCCCTACCCTTCTGGACTGGACTGATTCCCCTTCAGTGCCAGCATCTGTTTATGAACTTGCCTAGGCTTCATGTCTAACAGCACTTACGCTGCGGTTTAAAGGCCATTAAGAGATTTCTGACAGCGAGCTCCTGCCAGGGATGTTAATTAAATGACTCCGAGAGCTGTTTGTTGAAGATTTTGAATAGATCCTCAGGCAGAAGCCTCACCTAGCTGCAGGAGAAAGCAGCGTAGTGCTGACTCCTTCCCCATCTAGCTACAGAGACTGGCTTTTACCTGCCACCATCCCAGATTCACCATACAACTTTTTAACACAAAATCCACACCCAGGAATGGCAACGCACTGGAGCACCAGAGCAGATCTAAGCACTTACAAAAGGAAAGAGCCACAGAGGGGTTATAAAATCCCCACCACCACCAGCAGCAAGCCATATTCTCCTCATCTCCTGCTGAGATGTTAACATTTCCAGCAACGATATTCAAAGATATTCCCCCGCCTCCCTGCAGCATCTGCATGAGCTTTTACTGTGCAATTCCACCTGTTGCATCCAGGTTAGCAAGCACCTTGTGCCCGCTGATTTTAGAGGCACATTGGAATGAAAATGAAAATCCTTGCCCTGACCAGACCCCCGTAACTAACTGCCCAGTCTAGACCAGTTTCCCCTCCTTCTGGAGCTGGTGTCCTGAGCGTACAGTACTGATCCCCAGCCCTGCAGAGCTCTCTTAAAGTTAAGGATAAAGATTCCTTGTGGCTTCTTTTTAGAGACTAAATCAGTAAAACCTTGATGGGAAAAGTTGTTGCAAGCATGTTCCAACTCACTTAAGGGA